CAGGAAATGAAGATGGCTATTTGTCACAGTTTACGACAATAACATTAATAACAAACAATAAATTTACATGGACATATAAGACGCGGTAGGTAGTGAGAAACCCCTTCTACTTACAATACCCCAGCCCGCGGTGTGGCTCCGGCTGCGGGGCTGTTTTATTGCTGTCTCCCTCTCTTTTTCTCTCTCTCTCCCTCTCTCTCCCCCTCTCTCTCTTTTTTTTTTTTCTCAGGGTACAGGCTTGTTTTTCAAAGGACAGTTGAATTGCACGTCAGAAACAGGGAGACCGAAGCCTGCGATTTTCCTGACGAATACATATCTATTCTGCAACCTCGGCATTAATTATTTAATGAATCACGTGACCAGGAGGGGGAAGGGGGTCTTTCGATTTCAGGCTCAAAGGACCACTCTGACCTTCCCCTTCAGGAGGAGAAATTTTCCTGCAAAATAGGTTCCCCCCCAACCCCACCAATGGAATAGTAGCGAGTTCTCCTTCTCTAGCCCAGATGCACGTCTCTGCCTCCCGTATCTACAGCTCCCTAACCAACCCCACCCCGACACACACTTACCTACAGCCCACCTCTCCTCTCTCTCTTCTCCTGCTTCTGCTTAGTTCGTGGAGGTGCAGAAATAGTCTGCTGGGGCGTCGGGGGTGGGGGTGGGGTGGGGTGGGCGCGAGCCCTTCTCCAAGCCCCCGGCTTTCTCAGCTTCCAGTCCTCTCTGCATCCTTTAACATCAAGATTCCCTCCAACTCCATTCTCTCCCTCACTCCTAGGATACTGATTTTAGTGGGACCCGCTCCCCCTCTTCCTAAATAATCCACAGAACGTCTAAAGGGACCAGCTTCAAAAGAAACACTTCATAAGTCCACGTTATATATGTGTAAAGAATGGGACTGCTGGCTTTCATTCTCATTTTGATCTTTTGTGGTACCTTTACAGAGGGGCAGGGTGAACAGGCGACTCTGGGACTCTCGGAGTCAAGAATAACCGCAACAGACACTTTTTTCAACTGTGGTGTTACTGTTATAGGGGAGCAGATTCTACTGGCCGACCGAGGCCACGTCCGGAGACAAAGACCCGGACTGAGGTTTCCACACAAAAGGAGTGGACTCCCAGCCTCTCTCTACCTAAGTCACACCCTGTCCCCGTCCCCTCGCCCCCAACTCCAGTGAAGACAGCTGGAGGTTTGAACTGGAGGGGAGGAGAGAAAAGGAAGAAAGAGGCTTTGAAGTCGGCCTGGCAGCCCCAGGTCCCTATCTCCCAGGTGTTAGTACCCTGAGCTTCCAACCCACAGACAACGCAGACAGATCCATGGGGAAGGATGAGGGGCGCAGCATATTAAAGGAGGGAACACCCGGGATGGTAGAAGAAGCCCATTCCCTAGGCCTAGAGAGAGAGAAACAGCATGCGCAGACACCTTTATCTCGGAATAAACAAAACCACCCCGGACCTTCACGTACAGCTCGACCCAGAAGGAGCAGAGCAGTTACAACCAGAATCGGGTTCTTGGCTGTAATATGGGGTAGGGATAGAAAGGGGAGCAGAAAATACATTCCTGGAGAAGCACCTCGCTGCACACTCCCAGCCTTATCTTCTGCAGCTCTGGGGCAGCCTGGCCACAGCAGCCCCGGGCAGGCGGGACAGGGAAAGGACAAATGAGGTTTATGGAAGAGAAGCGTGGGGATTCCCCTTTTGATTTATTTGGAGGGGTCTGAACCAAGAGCAATTCAATGGGGACAAGGCTGAGGACCCAGATGGTTTAGCAACCCTCAAAGAGACAGCCGCCCCTGTGCGGGTCTCAGTAGCGTCCAGCTGTGGCGGCACTGAGGCCCCAGCAGAAGGCACCCGGCCGGTCGGCCTGGCCTTCTTGGAATCCAGATCCCGATGCAGGGGTGGGGTGCCGGCAGGGCTCAGGCCCTGTAGGGGGGTGGTCAGCTTTGATTGTTCAGATACAAAACCCAGACTGGTATTGAATTCAGCCCGCCGCCTCCCGTAGTGGGCCCCGAGCCCAGAGTTTCAGCAATTCCCTGCAACTCCCTGCAAGGTCCTGACCACAAATCCATTAAAACGGTTCTCTAAAGGAAACTGTCCACTCAAGTCTCAAAGAAAAATATGAGCCAACGAGAGAGAAGATGGAATATGCTGAAGCATGGGAAGGTAGCAATCCCTGAAACAGAGAAATTCTTTTTAAGGACAAGAAAAAGAACAGCGAACTGACACGAAGGCATGCCGGGCAGGTTCTGTTAAAATGCCCACACTCTTCTGATCCTGGGAATGTCCGTGTTCAAATAAACAAGCGCCAAGCGCGAGCTGAGCACTTTCTCGCTGCCGATAAAGCGAACGTTTATACTGTGAGAAAGGCGAGATTGATTTACGAATCCGAACGCGCCGGTTTTATGGCCGATCACAAATCCGTCAGCGCTCAGCTCACACTGGGAAACTTCCCCACTCGGTTTTCCAACCAGACCCCCTCCCTGGCCGCTGCCCAGGGAGACCCACCACAGGGTGCTGGGGCTGCCCCCGTCGACCCAGGTGGGTGAAAGCAGGAGAGAGATGGGGGGGGGGGCCAGGGACCTGGAGGGAAGAGAGGTCAAAGATTAGGAAGACTAGGGGCAGCCACTGGAATTGTAGGAGGTGAACCCAGTGGGCTGGGGGGCCCTAGGCCGCGCTCAGCTCTGCAAAGGGTGGGGTCTAGGGGTGAGGGGAAGGGAGACCTCTGAGTTCCCACCTGTGGGACTGAAATCCTTGTATGAACTCCAACCTTCCCTTTCTGTTGTTTTCCTTCTCCTCCCCATTGGTGAACCCCTAATCCTCACACTGCCAGAGAGAAGCCAGTCAAGTCCCAGGTGACCAGCTCTTTATTACCTGGGCCTGTGGAGTCCCCACAATTGGTGATCTCTGCCCTAATGAGTAATGGGTGCACATCTCCCTCGAGCCCCAAACATTTGCAGTCCAAGAGCAGCCCAGCTCACCTTTCTTGTCCCTCCCTTCCTTTCCCCCGAAAGGCCTCAACCGCCTGCATTTATTACGCCACCCAGGGACAAAGAAAAAGATACCGACCAGTTCCAGTTCTTTCTTGCCTGAGACTGAGTCCCTGAGTTACAACAAACAATTTACAAAAATGCAAACCGACAGCAGACACATCCCAGCAAGGTCCTGTCTCTCCTAGCCTGAACCCAAAGGGTGCATTTCCTGCTCCCAGCAGGCGTCTCTGTTTCTCTGTGTCTCTCTCCTCCGGAGAGGGTGGCTGCCAGGGTGGCTCGTTAAGATACAAGCAAGCGGAGTGCAGGTTTGGAAACACGTTGAGAGTTCACACCTCAGAAAACCTGCACCCACCTCTGGACATTAAAAGTTTCTGGAAACTTGGGTGAACATGGCAGAGCTGCCCCTGGAAATGGTCAGAGGGGTCTGCGCTGACCCTTCTCCCCGTCTCTCCTGCTCCTGTGGCAGGGAGGTGCTCCCTGGGCTCTGTGAGCAGCTGGGGTGGAACTGGGGATCCGGGGAAGGGGGTGAAAGTGGTGACAGGAATAGCAGCTCCCCAAACAAAGGACCTTCAGAAAACTGGGCTGGGAAGTTGTGGATTTGGATATCAGACTTTGAGACACAACAACCCCCAACAAAGGTGGGGGGGCTCTCTGTCCTTAGGACCCAGGGGCATGTTCCTGTAGCCCTCTGAAGCCTTGTGGACCTCTCCTACTGATGATTCCCTTTGTCTGTCTTCCCTCAGCTTCCTCCAAAGGAAACAGGAAAAAAAGGGGGATAAACTGGACATGGGGTGGGTGGGGGGAGCCCGCCTGAGGAAAGGAGGCCTGAACAGAGAGACAGGCCAGCACCCCCTTCCCTCCCCCAGCCATACCCCAGCTAACAATTGTATTCCTTTTCTCCCCAGTGAACAGTAACAGAAACACAGGCCAGAAACCCCAAAATAGCAAGGAAGGGGTTGAGGGCGAGAGGGGGTTGGAGGTGGGCACACAACAGCCCCGAAGACCACTCCCAGTGGAGGTGTGAATTTCCCTCCTGGGCAGGACGCAGGGCCAGCACAATGTCCAGTCTCAGAGAGGTCAAGGGGCTTCCGAGGTCATTTTGCGGTTCTAATACTGAGCTAATCGCCTAGAAAACGTGGCCTTTCCATGAACTCTCTCTCCTGCCAGCCTCCTGCCTCCAAACTCTCAGTGAGCCCCGGGGAAAAAGGATCAGCACGTTCAGGTCTGAGGCAGAGCCCACCGGCTGGCTTGGCAGCTGGCTCGCCCTCAGAAGCAGGGCCCTAGGTCGGGGTGGACGGTGGGGGGACAGAGCCCCCAAATCAGGAGAGCAAAAGGAAACCACACCGAACACTGAGCCTCCAGAAAGAAAGCAGATTCCTGTGTCGAGGAGCTTTGCATGTGAATGGAGCAGTTTCTTGCTCCAGAGAGTTGAGCATACTTGTCTAGAATCCCAAGCTAGACACACACACACACACACACAAATAAATAAATAAAAAAGAAGACAGCCGCCTATTCTCTGCTCCAAGGCTGGGCCATTTCATCCAAGAAATGCATTCCGTTTTTCCAGGAGGTGGCAGTGACTGCTCTCACCAGTAAACAGACACACGGGGCACGAGCCCCCAGTGCAGACAGGCAGAGTCACATAACACACCGGCCACATGTGCGCCTCGCTGCACACACACGAGCGCACACACACTAGGGCTCCACAGGCCCGCCCGCATCTTCCAGAACCAGGAAAGCACTCACAGACCACCTTCTCTGGGGTCCTTCAGGGGCCCTGACACCTCAGTTCTCAGCAGTTCAAACACTCTCCAGGTGTCAGGCCCCTCTCTCTCCCTCTGACCCCAGCATGGGTCACCATAAAAGGCCCCAAACCTGATCAGGCATCCACCATAAAAACTCCACCAAGATAGGACTTTCCTCTTTCCCTTGTAAAAAAAAAACACACACAAAAAGCTCATAAAACGATTTTTTTTTTTAAAAAAAACGCCAGCCCAGGCAGGGGGGGCTCCGTTACCTTTGCGCCTCTCGCCTCCTTTCGCCTGAACTCCTCGCATCCCATTCATGACGAAGGGCTTCTTCGAAACTGAAGAGAAAAAAGTTTTCAACTTTACGGTTCCAAAATTTTTCCCCCTCGCAGATCTGGGAAAGACGGCTAACACTTTTTTCCCCCAACAGCCGGTCTGCGGAGATTTGCTGTTGAATAATAACAAAGGAGAGAGGATACGTATTTAAAGAAAAGAAGTGATTAATGGTTTTCTGTATAATTCTCACATTTTTCTTAGCTCTTGTCTACACAGAATGGCTGTGAACTTTAAGCTCCATAGAAATCTTTTTTTTATTCTATTCATACCTTCCAAGGAGCAGCTTTGATTTGGTTCTATAGGGGCATTGGGGGGGGGGCATATGCTTTTTAAGAACTATTTTCCCCCTCTGTTAAAGGCGGCCGCATCCCCTGGCAGCTAAACACCACACCGAGATTGACTGAAACAAAGCTGGCCGCTCTCATCCTCCAGGTCTGGGTGATTTTTTATGAGTCTCCCAGCAGCGTTTAAACAAGCAGCTCAACCCTTTCTCAGGCTCTGGGGACACCGGCCCCCGTCTGTCCCTTGGCCCTACCCAGCCTCAAACTCCTGGGTGCTGCAAACCGGGGGAAATGCCATAAAGAAATAACAATAAAATGTGCGGGTGGATTTGGCTCTTTTTATTTTCTGACGGGAGAAAGGACAACATCAACAACAACAAAAAGATTTTAACTGCACATGCTCTCCCGAGCCCTGAGCTTTCTGGAGGCAGGTGGCTGTACCCGGGGCCACCTGAGGACCAGAGACCCCAGGCTGGAGCCCCCCAGACCTTAGAACTTCTCCCGGGTGATGCACAAAAGCGGCCCAAGCTTCACAGAGTTTCTGAGGGTCTCCGGTACCCCCACCCCCCTTCCCCCACTCCATTCTAGGGGTGACTGGGACCTCCGAGACAGAAAGCTATTTGGTCCCCAGTCCTACTTTCGATACTTTCTATGAGAAAGAAAATGAAAATTAATACAGGAGCAGGGCTTCACAAAAGAGGCCATTTGTCTTCTTGATTATCTATTTGCTTGTCAGAGTTTGAGCTATGGCACTGGCTAGCTCCTTTGTAATATAAAAATACTCTGAAAACCTGCAAACACCCAGAAACATCTGTGCAAAAAATTAGACTCATTAAAGCCTTAAACACCTCAGAGGAAAACGATACCTTCTTCCGCGGGAGGAAAGAGGCCGGCCTCGCAGAATCCTCTCGCGGAACTTTAATAAGCACAGAGCCGTCTGTCTAGAAGGAGACAGCTTAACCGCATTTTATTTGCTTATGACAAATAAATCATGATATGAAAGGCTTTGCTGTACTTAAGCCTCTTGTGTCCTACAATGAAACATTTTCCCCCCATTAGGGATTGGAGTCAGCCCTCCCAGTCCTCTCCATACATTTTTTTTGGACTGGACAGGAAAAATTGAAAGCCCCAAACAGAACACACCCACCCCAAAAGAAAAACAAACCAGCTACTACAGTTTGGAGTCCTCAGAGACAGAAATTCCCCAGACTCTGACCCCAAAAATCATCAACCACATACAATGTGAGTCCGGATGAACTGGGGCACTTAAGATAGAGACTAGGTGGCATTTGTCTGGATCTTTATATCAAGGCTTCAACAAAAACACGCCGTGCTGGTCACAAGAAACCAAACATTTATTTCTATTGTCACTCTGTACAGGACACAAATTTGCACTCCAACTTAAGAGTTCTAGACTCAGGCGCCCCCCAGAACTAGGAAGGAGGCCTGGTTTGGAATGTCAGGACAAGAAATAGGAGAGAGGACACACATGACATAAAATAATAATAATAATAATTAATAATCATCAATGCAACAATGATAAACTATGGGAGAGGTCTCTGCAACATCATCTCCCAGACCGGGAGGGGCACACCAATTTATGTCCTAGTTTCACATTCAATTCCAGTCTAGGAGAGCATGTCTCTGTCCAGCTCTAGCTTGGCGAGAGGGTTGTGCCCAGCTCTTAGACCTCAACTGGCCCCTCACCCTGCCAGGAATGGCTTGACCTTCCAGAGGAAGGCACTCCCAGGTCTTCAAGTCTCTTTTTTTGCTTGGACTCAACTTCCCTGCGCCTCCACTTGGCCCCTTCCTGCTGCCCCCTATCCCAGCCCCGCAGTGGAAGGGGTCGAGCAGTCAGTGTCCCCGAGCAGGGTCACGGAGGGGGAGGAGGTTGTATGTGTGTGTTACCGTGGTTAAAACACTGCGCTATCTGACAATCAGAGGGTGCTTTCGCTGGGTGTCAGGAAGGGGGGACAAAGAAAGAAAATCCAGGTTGCCTTCCAGCAGCGGCAGCAGCAGAGGCGGCGGCAGCCGGGCCGGGCCTCATTTGTTAGCTGGGTGTCGAGGTAATGGTCGCCACCGAGGCCCGTCCTCTCCGTCCTCTCCTCGGCAGAGTAAACAAGACAGATGGGCCCGGGCCTGGCGTGATTAAAGATGAAACGTGGATCCATCTTCGCCAAAGCTGAAAAGGAGGAGTGCAGCCTCCTCGTATTTCTCTTTCTGTCTTTTTCTTTCTTCCTTCTTCTTTTTTTCTTTTCTTTTTTTTTTTTTAAGGAAGAAAGCAAGAGACTTGAGCTTTGCTTCTTGGGGGGCCTCGCTGGGCTCCCTATTGTCGTTTTTATAAATAAAGCTTCCCCTCCCCCTTCTCTGCGTTTATTCGTGTAAATAGATAAAATGGGGGGGGGGGGTGGGACAGGAAGGCTTTTCCGGGCCCAGTCCCCTCCCGCCTCTCTCCCCCTGTATTCCCCGGCGCTCGCCACCCTCCCCACCCCAGGTTCACGGTTTTCGCGCGCGGGGGCCACTAGAGCGCGGGAGGACCTCCGCTGGGCCGGCCCGGGGGCCCGCCTGCTGCGCCCGCGGTGCCACCCGAGCGAATCTTGGTATTGGGCAACTTATGGTCTTTTTTCCACTTCATACGCCGGTTCTGGAACCAGATCTTGATCTGGCGCTCAGAGAGGCAGAGCGCGTGGGCGATCTCCACCCTCCTGCGCCGCGTCAGGTAGCGGTTGTAGTGAAATTCCTTCTCCAGCTCCAAGACCTGCTGGCGAGTGTAGGCGGTCCGAGAGCGCTTGGGCTCCCCGCCGGCGTAATTGGGGTTTACTGGACACACACAGAGAGAAGGAGAAAGAGAAAGTTTTATTGCCCAGAAAGGGAGGAGGGAGAGCCCTTTCTTCCAGCTAACACAGTATTTCCCTCCCTTCCTCCCTCCCTCTCCCGCCACCTCTTCTTCCTGTGGGGTGGGGAGGGGGGACGAAAAGGGAAGAAAGAGGGACCCCAGGAAGGAAAAGAGACCTCAGAATTTTAGAGGGTTATCTTGATGATGTTTGGGTGTCTGGCAGGGGGAGACGTGGGGGGGGGCGGAGTGAGAGATCTTCACAAGGTTTTAATCGGTCCTCTCCTGCCTTGGCCTGAGGCCCGGGGTGGGAGAATACGGGGTGAAAGGGGAGGGGGCTTCCCTAAACCTTTCTTCTGTTAGTTCCCACCCTCTCCGCTCAGATTCCAAGCAGTGCCTGCCCCCAGTAAAAACTTTTGCCCACTTCTTGAGCCAAGGAGCAGACTAGAGGAAAGAAAGCCGGAAAAATAAATAGTAGGAGTTCACTCAACTCTCTGCTTAAATACAGATTGCCGCCTCCTCCTTCTCCCCAACCTCTCACCCCCTCCCCAACTTCCAACTTCACTGAGACTACGTGTCCCTGGCGAAAAAGTCGCTGGTGAGAATGGCAAAGAGGATGGGGAACCGACTTCAAAGGCGCAGGGCCCACCAGGCCATAAAAATTTATGGGGGATGTAATTATGTGGCTCTGAAAACAGGCGACCGTAAATCTCGGCAATGGCGAGTTTATAGCGGGGACAATTGGCTTCCTCCAGCTTCTCCCCGCCCCCCCCCCCCATGCCTCCGAGGTCCCTTTGGTGCAAAGCGCTGGGGGTGGGAGGGGGAAGGGGTGCCCACGCACTCACCCGTGCTCACGTGAACTTTGCGCATCCAGGGGTAGACGACGGGCTCTTTGCACGCGGAGTGGGACGGGCTGGGGTGCAGGGGGTTCTGGGCGCAGGGAGGCGGCGGGGGGCTGCTGCTGACCACCTCGCAGCGCTGGCCGGGCTCCGGGAGGAGGGCCCCGGAGGGTGGCGGCGCAGGAGCCCGAGGGGACAGCCCGGGTGGTGGCGGGGGCGGCGGGGGTGGTGGCGGAGGCGGCGGGGGCCCGGGGTCCCGGCAGGCCGCGTAGCGCTGCACGGTGCACGCCGCGCGCCGCCCGAAGCCCGCCTCCGGCTGGAAGCTGCTCTCTCGCCTCTGGCCGCCGGCGTAGTACCCTGGCGAGTGGTCGCTGGGTAGGTAATCGCTCTGTGAATATTCCTCGCACGGAGGGAACTTGGGGTCGACATAGTTTGAGTTGATCAAAAAAGAACTCATAGCCATTAATTTCTGGGAATTGCCCACAAAATATACTAAAATTTATTCCGACCCCTGACTCGTTTTCCTGTTTCCGAAAGCCCTCCTACTTACTGTCAAGTGAACAAAGTTAGGACCCCACGTGATCCTGGGAGCCAATGGCGGCCCCGCCTGCGATTCCCGGATAAGGAAATCTGCTCACCCGGACCCTACTCCAGCCAAAGAGGTTTATTTCCCCTTCTCCTCTCCCCCCCTCCCAACCCACCCACCCACCCACCCAACAACAGGATTTGCATAGGGCTCCCGCGGGGCGACCGCCTCCTCGCCTCGCTCTCTCCAAGATCGGGGAGAGAGAGAGAGCAGGTTGCCAACAGAGGGCTTGTTGGGGCCCTAAGCGGAATGCAATCCCTGGATCCCCTCGGAAGCTGGGGGTCCCCAGTGTAGCCCCTCCTGTCCTGCCTCACCTCCGCCTCGCATTCTCTGTCTTCCATGGACCCCCATCCCTTCCTCCCTAGGCAGGGGGCCCATGCACCCTGCCTCTGCGCGAGAAGGGAATTGACAGGCAGCCTGGGGTCTTCGCCTAGAGAGGGGAACCCACTTGGGGACGAGAGGCACTGAGCGTGGGGCTTTTCTCTGCAGCGGCATGGGGAGGGGTAGGGAGCGAGAGAGGCGTTGGAAGCAAGCAGGCGGGTGCACGGAGGGACTTGTCAGAGATGAATGGAACCGCGGGCGGATCGATAGGAAATTCATGCACTAATTCGGGGAGACCTCGCCTTCCAAATCGCATTTAGCTGCGCTATTAGTTTGGCTTTGTCAGTCCCTCCGTCTGTTCCCCTCTCCTATCCACTCCTCCCCTTACCCCACAGTCCCAAGCAGGAGAAAGGACGTGGTTTCCCACAATGAACGTGAGCCCTAGAGTTTAAAAACCAGCAACTTTGGAGAGCACATTGAATAGCAATTTGCTAATTTCAGAACCATCGAAGCAACACTAACCACGGGGTGGAGACGTTCTAATTGTCACTAATGCCACCGCCTCCTCAGAGAACAGAAATCTCACATCCTTGTGATGCTGGAGATAGGAGCACTGGGGTGACCCCCCCCCCACACACGCACAATAACACCCCTTGGTAATTGCGAATTTCCAGGGCACCCTGGTCTGAACCCAAATGAAAAGGCGACCTCAGCATCTGTTTGTAAAGCGAATTTCCTTTGCCTTCACATACTGAAGACAAAAGTCATTCTTTCCGGATTTTCAGTAAAGCCTCCCTGAACCCAGACTAGAGAATAGGTGGGCTTGAGGAAGAGGGTAGAGTAAAAAACACCACCAACATGAACCTACTGAGAGAAGTGAACAGAAACCCAGGCTCCCAGAGGCAAACATGGGGAGAATTCAGGTAGACGATTTCTCCGTTTCTAACCAGTTGCGGGAGGAAAAGAAAGAGGAAGAAAGAAGAAGGGAGGAGTCTTCGTGTGGTCAGTCACCGCATGGTCCTCATTTAGGAAAAAAAAAAATTTTCTTCGGGAGGGGGGAAATTGAGCGGAGTGTTTATGTCAACTACATATTCCCCTAGATACGAATTTGTGACCACAAAATTCCTTACACAAATTCGGATCTACAGGGTATATACAGAAGACAGACAGATCTTCTTGGCCCAGAAATTTTCCAGTCCTCCTACTTTCCGCGTGTTCTTCGTTTGGGATGTGGTTTGAGTGCTTTGGTTTTATTTCGTTTGTTCTGATTTTTTGAGTTCTGGAAACAGGAAAAGGCACTGCGGGTCCGTCCTTGGGATTACAAGCTTTTCAGTTCTCTTTCTTTTCTATTAGAGCTAGGAGCAGCCATCAGGCAAAGAGACGCGAACCTCGCAGCCGCTGCGCAACTCTCTCGGCGGTTGCGCATGAATTATGAGATGTAAACATTAGCTAAACACAAAAGGAGGAAGGGTCATCCCGAGGCTGCAGCGAGTCAGAATCAGGCCCTTCTGGGTGCCCTCGCGCCCCTCCCATCCCCCAGGACTTTTTTTTTTTTTTTTAAAGAAAAACAAAACCCCAATGGGCTCCTCCAGTGACCCTTGCAGCCTTTAGTTTTCCGATCAAACGAATATCTAGATATTTTTCAAGGCGCCTCTTAGCAAAGGGAGGGGGGAAAGGCGGCTGGGTGTGAAGGGGGTGTCATAAAAGTCCTTTTGGAAAAATTCAATGGTAAAATGAGGGAGAAACAGCTGTAAAGAAAAATGCTGGGAGACCAAGCAGATGGGGCCCCGGACATTTAATGACGGGCAATTCTGTTTACAACCTGAGAAAAAGATCAAAGGCGTTTCATTTCCGAATGAAGGGCAATGAGGAACCATAAAAGATGCAGCCAGATGATATTCCGGTCCCTCCCAACCTCCCAAACCTCCTGGGGCCAGAAACGGAGGTTAATCCCTGAAGTGTGAGGAGGGACCCGGGCTCCCCACCTCCCTAGCCCCAGGCAGGCTCTCTCTCCCTCTCTATTTCTCTCTCAACTTGCTTATTGGGCCACCTGCTAGGGTTGCTGGCAGTGGGACCCAAATGGGGATCTGGGAAACCTGGGGGATCTGGGGTTTCCAAACGAATTTCCTGAGGCTTCCAGTAGCCACTGAATTTACCAAACTGGGAGAGTGGGAGTGAGGTGGAGGGAACTGAGTCCCAGGCTGTGAAAACTGATGGCCTTCCCAGGGTAAGGGAATATGTAGTAGAGGCAACCTCTTCCCCACTCAGACTCTCTACCCATCTCCCTAGGTCTGAAAAATACTTGTGAACACGTCAGAAAAATATCAGCTTCATTAACAAATAGGGCAATAACAAAAAACAACCTTTTAACCATGACACTCTAGAGGTCTCTGCTCATCCTCAGTCCTGGGACCTTTGCAGGTGGGTAGGAGGGGAGCTCTCACACGCCAGCAACTAGGTCCAGAGACCCTCTTTTCTATCCCAAATCTAGATGGTCAATGTTGGCCTCCAGGCCTGATTTTTAACACCAACACTTTTCCAGCCAGGCTGGACTCCCTTGTATTTGAAAAGTCACACGTATCACACACACACACTCAATTATACTGTAGTTACCTTAATCTCAGACCCCCATCTGAGCACCCAGGGAGACTGAGGTCTGGCCTTGAGCTCACTGACAAAATGCTTAAGGTGGACCCCCACCAGACCCTCAACGCCAAGCGACCACCTTTCTAAGTCTTGTCAAAAGCCGCTTAGGAGCTTCAGGACCCATTCCAACTCTTCAGGCCCCTCCCCCACCCCATACCTTCTTCGCAACTCTCTGGCTTTCTGAAACCCGTCCAACTCCTAAGCAGGCTTTTCGAAATTTCGGGAGGGCCGCTGAGCTGACCACCCGGCCTCTCTGCTGTTCTACACTTCACAAGGGATGTGGCCCAAGTGCCCAGAACACCCCAGGAAAGAACAGAGCCACTGAGAGGCTGGGCATGGCTGATCTTAGGGACAGAGTGGAGATTTTCTCCTCCGCACGCTGGAAGCCGCCACCTGCCCGTGCCACTTATCCCACCGAAGCGCCGCACCTCCCACCCCAGCCGAGTCCAGCCGCATTGGCTAGAGGACAAGGTTTATCAAGGATTCCCAAAATGGGTTTCACCAGAGCAGGAGGCTGCCTCTCTCCTCCATCCCCAGAATCAATATGCATAGTAATAAAAATAAGACAGAGCCAGCTCTTCGCGCGCGGTCGAGCCACCTCCCCTGCGCTCCCGGGTGACTCGCTCGCTGCCTTGCCGGTCGCTTTCTCCGGGCAGCCACAGGTTGCTAGAGTGACCTCTCGCCGCTCAGCGCCCCGCAACCGCCCAGCCAGCGCGCAATCATCTACCTTTTGTTGGAAGGGTGGAAGAGACATCGAGGAAGAGGGAAACGGGAGGGCGACGCAGGCGAGCCCCCCGCCGGCCCGCGCACCGCACCGGCAGCCGTGCGGAGGAGTGGAAGGCCCGGAGCGGGAGCCCGCAGAGTACTCACGGAGCGACTCCCCGCGCCTCCCGGCCGCCCCCCTGCCCGGGACCCGCTCGGCGACAGCTGAGCTCGCTCTGGTCCACTATTGTGTGTCCGGAAAACCGAACCGCGGCTACCGGTCAGAGCAGCTCTGGGTCCCCTTGGAGGCCGGAACAAGACTTTTTTTTTTTTTTGGTGTGTTTTTGTTTTTGAAGCGCAAGTTTTCGTATTAATCTCATACTTTGGCAGTCTTTGTTAAACAGCTTGGCGCGTCACGAGACTCTCAAACATTTTAATAATTTTTAGACGCCGTGACCTGAGGTTCACCCCTCTCCAGGCCTCCCCACGAGCAGGCAGTTGCTATAATACGGTGGCGCAGTGCGCCGGGTCATAAGGAATTTTGCGCAGGTCATTGCTTGGGCGAAAAATGACAGAGCAAGATTTGGGTTCAGCTTGTCCTCTCCGGCTCACTTTTTGCCAGAACCTTCATTTCCCTTCAACCCAACCTCTACACTCAAAAAAGTTCCATTCGGATAGGACTCAGCCTGCGGGGGTGGGGTGGGGGGCCCTTGGCTTTGATAGTCTAGCATTCCTATATTTTTGTCAGTTCCGGTTCCTCGACTCTGGCAAAGAGGAAGAGGGTAGGATTCTGTGGTTGGAGACAGCCCCCTTCCCTCCTGCCTCCCCTATAAATGGCTGCATTTGGCAGGGCCAGTGTCCCAACCCCACTGCATACTCCATCTGCTTTATTCTATCCTCCAATGTCAGAAATACCCCCCCCCCCATTTCTGCCAAAACTTTGGAGGCTCCAAAGCCCCAGGAACGGCCCCTCCACCTGGGTGGTGGGCGCATGAGATGTGGTTCATAGGGCAATACGTTTGGGAAAAACAGAGAGAAATGCACTAGTCCAAGCCGGAGGCTTGGCTTTCAGATGCTACGATTATCCCTTAAAAAAAAAAAAGTCCTCCCTGCCCGCAAACTCTGTTTAAAACCACTTCTCATCTATACAGTGACTCCCTTGTCCATCCCTATCACCACCACAATGAGGCACAATGAGGTTCAGGGGCAAATTAAACAGGCATCAAAAATATTCAGAGATTTTTTGTTTGTTTGTCCCTCCAGGATTAGAACCCCTCCCGGTGACTGCCAACAGCACACTTCCCCTTTCTGCAGCCTCCAAGGGACCCACAGAGGCAAGTCAGGTGTGACACCCCTTCTATCCAGTTCAAGTTCAGAGGGAGTGTTGGTAGTGTGGTGCCCCCCTAGTACAAG